CATACATGTGTATAAACAAAAACGTAAGCACATAAATATACCTACGCACATACGCACACGTATACCGTTACGTATACTGATGCACATACTCAGACCTATATGAAGATATACGAACACACATGCGTATGTGTATCTACAGATGGCTGCATCAACATACATATACAAACGCAGTCCACATATGCATGCATACACACAACTCTGTAAACACGTATACATACACATATGAATACGCATTGACATATAAATGAGTTGATGCAGGCTCATATACATATACATGTACATGTGCATTTACAGCGCGTATGAATGAGCATATACATATGCGTATCTGTACACAAGCATGTACACCACATGAATGTACATACGAGTCGGAATGTACATATACATATGCGTATACATATACATGTACACATACACTGCGTAGGAATGAATGCACAGTCATGTAGATATACACCACATAAACGTATATGCGCATATCTATATGTATACATATGCATGTGCGTAAGCATATACACATACAATTGCACATCAAGAAACACAAACACATACACATACACATACGTATACACGTGCATATGCAAGTGCATAGACATATACATTTAGATAGACATGATACCTGAGAAAAGCCCCAATCAAAGTCTTTTTAGGGCTCTAGGGGTATGGGGCTATTGGGAGACAGGGCTCTGGGGCTATGGGGCTATAGGGCTATGGGGCTATAGGGCCACCAAGCTATAGGTCTATAGGGCTGTAGGCTATAGCGCTATGGGGCTATGGGGCTCTCGGGCTATGGGACTATAGGGCTATAGGGCCATGGTGTTATGAGTCTATAGGGCTATGGGGCTATAGGGCTATAGGACCATAGGGCTACAGGGCTATAGGGATATAGAGCTATGGGGCTATTGGGCTATAGGGTTATAGGCAGATAAAGCGATAGGGCTATAGGGCTAAAGGGCTATAGGGCTGTAAATCTATAGGGCTATACGGTTCATGGGGCGGCTATAGGGCTATACGTCTATAGGGCTGTAGGGCTATACGGCTATTGGGCTATGCTACTATAATAGGGCTATTGGGCTATAGAGCTATAGGGCTACGTGTAAGGATATTCGGCGATAGGGCTATAGGACTATGGGGCTAGTGCTATAGAGCTAGAGGGCTCTAGGGCTATGGGGCTATAGGGCTATAAGGCTATAAGGCCATAGTGCTATAGGGCTATTGGGCTATAGGGTATAAGGCTAATTTGACTATAGGGTTATAAGGCTATAGGGCTATATGGCTATGGGGCTATCAGGCACCCGGGCACCCGGACACCCGGGCGGGCACCCGGGCACCCGGGCACCGGGGCGGGCCGCGGAAATCGGTGACACACCTCACCTAACCGTATGAATCCGCTAGGACCCCTAAAGGCAAACTCTGATTGGGGAACAGACGCATGTATGCATAGATCCATGTGTTGCGTACATGTTTATATGTATGCTACGGGAAAAAAAACAATCAGGGCTATAGGGCAATAGGGCTATAGGGCTATTGATCTATAGGGCTATAGAGCTATAGGGCTATAGAGTTGTAGAGCTATAGGGCTATAGGGCTATTGGGCTATAGGGCTAGAGGGCTATAGGGCCATAGGGCACACCCGGGCACCCCCTGGGCACGCCCGGGCACCCGGGCACCCGGGCACCCCCGGGCACCCCCGGGGGCACCCCCCGGGCACCCGGGCCCCGGGCACCCCCGGGGCACCTGGGCACCTGGGCGTGCAGCGAAAATCGGCGACAAACCTAACCTAACCACATGAATCCGCTAGGATCCCTACAGAGGCAAGCTCTGATTGGGGAACATACATACATACACATATGCCTATGCGTCTACACATACATGTACACATCTGCATATCGAGCTTCCGCCGTACTCCCGCTGGCTCCCGGCGGACGAGCCGCCGTCTTACTTCCGCCAGCTGCCGCTGAAGGTGAGACGCGCCGAATGCGAGGCCCCTTCTGGAACACCCCCCAGGAGCACCGAGGCCGGAGGCGAAAAGAGGTCCTCCTGGCTGGCGCGGGCGGGGACACACAATCGGGCGCCCCACCAGCGCCGCTCATGAGCGGGAGGAGACCGAGGGAACCTGAAGATACCGGTACCGCTGCTCCCCAGACCTCTCCAGAGGTGCGTTCTAACCAGAATTTCGAGGCGAACCCAGCCGTGGCCACGAGGGCCTCCAAGGAGGCCCACACGGGCGGAAACGAGAGGCAGGGAAGCGGCATCAGCACCCCTTGGTTCCGGACAAAGCGGGTCTTTCGTGATGGGGTCGCCCAAAACATGCATTAGTTCATCCTGTGGCTCATCGCGCGTGGCCCCTCTCACGGACCAGCGATGCCAAATGCATCGCGTTCTGCCCGCACCCCCACGATCCACAGCCCGAATCCGAACCACTTCCTCCTCTCGCAGGACTCAGGGGAGGCCGAGCGCCGCCGTCGCTGGCTGCCCTTGGGCCTCTTCCGAAGGCCGGTCTGACCGGAGCTGCCGCCGGCGCCGGCGGAGGTCCGAGCCGGCCGCTGCGCGCACCGCCCGGGGCCGAGATGGCTGCGGCCGCGGCTCGGATCTGCAGCACGGCCCGAAGGCGCGACTGACCGCTACGACGAGGCCAGGACGAGGATAAATACAAATGACGATCCATCGGGGATAGAACGGAAAGAGCGAGGTACGAGTGATGACGTTCTGGTGTGGGCGAAGCCCTACAGGGAGGGGTTCCCGGGGAGGGGGGTAGGGCGGGGGAATGAGTGTGAACGGCCTGTTTCGGCCGTTTTCCCTCGGGTTTTTGTATGTTTTCGGGTTTTCCCCCCTTTTCAGTCCCAGAAGAGCCCAAGACCGCCCAAGATAGCCCAAGACGGCCCAAAAGGCCTCCAAGAGGCCCCCAAGAGGCGCACAAGGGGCGTCCCAAGAGGGCCCCAAGAGGCCGAAATCCTTGATTGTCCTTCGGAGAACGTGCATGTTTAGCATACACGGCTTTTCGGCGTTCACGGCGTTGAAGACGATCCAAGAGGCCCCAAAGACCGCCCCCAGACAGCCCAAGAGGCTCCCAAGAGGCCCCCAATACGACCCGAGAGGGCCCCAAGACGGCCCAAGAGGCGCCCAAGACGAACATAGTCGATGCGCCTTGGGTTTACAATGGTCCTCATCCTCTTGATCCTCGGGGCTGGAATCGACGCCTCCCCTCTCCCTCCGTCGCTCCTCATCCGTGTCCTCCTCCTCCCTTTCCTCCCCTGCCCTCCCCCCCTGGGGTACCAAAGTCAAGTCCTCTCCCACTCCCCCCCACCGAGGCTGCGGCGGCGCATGGGCGCCGCCGATGTTGCGACGTGGCGGCCCTGGTGGCCCAGGGATGCTGTCCAGCCAGGTCCCCCGCCTGTCTGGGCGCCCCTGCACTTGTTCGGAAGTGGCAGGGGGGCGCGAGAGGACCAGATTCCCCGAGTCTGGCGGCAAGGCGCCCCCGCCACATGTTGGTGACGGCGGGGGGCGGCGCCTCTGCGCACGGCCCATCTCATCATCCGCGCTCCCGATCTCCCTCTCCCGATTGCCATTCCTGCTCAACCTCCTCTTCCGATCCATGATCATCAATCATCAGTCGGCCACCGCCTGTCAGCAATCACCAGCAATCATAATCAGCATCAGCATCAGCATCAGTATCATC